CTTGATGTACGACAGGGTTGTTCTTGTTCCCGATTCTCCGTCTGTTGTTTCCCTCTTTCTTTGAGCCAGAGTTCTTTTGATGAAGTTGCGGGGATAGCCATTGCGAGCGAACACTTTGAGGAGGTATCTTTCTTCTTGAGTATGTCGGTACTGCAGTGCGTTTGGATTCTTCCGAACTGCAGCACCGATACTTGCTTTCGCAAGTTGGTAAGTGGGTAGACCTGATCGACAGTCACCTCCAGGTAAACTTTTTTTATTTCGTTGAATTTTTAAATAAATTTTACATGGAAAATTTCCTCGTTAAATATACAACTCAAAAATGTATAATGTGCATGGGTCAACATTATATTTAATTGCCTCAATTTGTTTATATGTCCAATCATTTTTGTGTGCTATATATGTCACACCCGTCGTGAATGCGGCCATTTTTATCACAAATTGACGGTGGATCTTGTGTTGAAAATCTGCAAGACCGAAAATTGTTGGCAAAATATCGTGATTGTCTGCGGTCACGCTATGAACCTACAGGAATCGGCCAAAGCACCCGATGGATTTCTTTTTCGCTGCTGTCGGATTCACCAACCAGGCGACAGCAGTCCACACCAACAACGTGGAAGGCTACTGGAGCCGGAGAGGAGACTGAAAGCAGTTTCCATCTCCGTTGGTGATAGGAAGTGGGTACATCTGGACGAAGTTCAGTACCGCTACTGGTTTCACTTTTCGCCCTCTAACATTGAAACCTTTTTCCAGCATATCAGTGAGCGTTATCCCATGGATTAATGTGCTTATTGATATTTTACTCTTATTATTTTTATTTAATACATTTTTATAAACGCTTTCTCGTCTTTTATTCACCGAAATGGAATATAAGCACGATCATGCTACTTATGAGTAGTCAGTTTATTATTGCGACTTTAGCCTGGCGGGGGGCTGTCGATCAGGTCTACCGGTAAGTGGTCTGATGAACGTTATCCATACAAACGTTATAACCCTTACCAAGAAGCATCATCAGCAAGAAAAACAAGGACTAAGCTGCTATCCTAAAAAACAGGATGGAACCAAGGCGAGCGTGAACCATTCACCTAAATCGTATGAACAGTAGTTTTGTGCAGTGAGCACCGGTTGATTTTTAGTAGTGCGATCGATTAATTCAAAAGGCAGTCCGATGTGCCATGTGATCGCTCAAGGGCCACGTTAGTGTGTTAAATTGGCCGGTCATTTGCAGGTGTTTTAGGAGACAGTCAGTTGTGGATCTGTTTCTGCACATCACATCACTAACTTACACTTTTATTGACGTAATGGCAATGGAAAAAAGATCACTTCTGCATAACTGTCTAAGCAGACTATTGGCAAAAAGTAGTGGTCACACGCTATCCGGCAAATAGTGGGAATTTTCATTCACTATCATGCGTCGTCGTTACTTGCGGGATAATATTATTTGTTTCCAACGTGCCAGGACACGCTTCGATGGTTTAGCAACCGTGCAGGATGGCAAGTTGCTCTTGATTGCACCCCTCAGTCCAAGATGACTGTCCCTTTATAGATAATTACATTCGGTCCCTTTTTCCGAAAATGTCGGATTTAACTATACCGTCTTCAATTTCAAATGTCCGAATGTCAATTTAAGATGTCATGTTGCTATGTGGGTAGTACGATAGCGATAGCGATCGCTATATCGATTCACATTGTTTTGCAATTTTTGTGATGCTCTTGTTGTCACGTTTAGTTCATCCGTGTGCTGAAGTCACACCTGCTGTACAGTCGAAGTTCACTGGACCTGTCTAAGACTCGGGGCTGCAAACAAGGTTCGGTTTCTCGCTCGGGTTAACTGTTAACTGGTCCTGTTATCTTCGGCCCGGCACTAAAGGAAGATAGGTTCCGAATCCGATGCTGCCTAAGTGTTGGTAGAGAATCAATTGTAGAGCGGTGTGCGGTGTATGTGAGAAATTCTGAATGGAAAATGCTCAAGCGATGATGACACTGGGCCAACGCTTGACTCATCTAAGATGCACGCACTATTTTTCAAAGCGGGTTCGGTAAACAGATAATCATAACAAAACTTTGGATTCGTCTTAATAACGGACAAAAGTATCCCCTAACGTAGGCCACGCAAAACTCTTGTTTGTTTTCTCCCAACTGGCTGTTTTCGCGTTGAACGATCTCGCTAACTACGTCGGAGATAGAATTCTGAAAGAAAAAAGAACAACTATCATGGGAAAATGCATATTTATTTTATAAAAGTTGTTGAATATGTTTTCGGTTCTGCTGCTTGCATAGCAGAATACGGCGAAAATAGTTTTCTTCCACTCTCAAAATGGTAGCAGTTGGAATACTTTCGCACTGCGCCACAGTACTCTGTCTAAGCCCCTCAATCGTTTTCGATTTTCGGGAATAAACGGTTCGCTTTAGATAGGCCCAAATGAAGAAATCCAAGGGAGACAGGCCAAGTGATTTTGGAGCAACATGACATCTTAAATTGATCCTCGGACATCTTAAATTCATATTGTGACATTTGAACTGATGCTCGGACATCTAAAATTGAAAAATCTATGGATTCCTCCGATCAAGAACTCACACGAACACGTGTGCAGTCTGTGTTCAAGAATCCTGGTTGAATAAAGATTTAGATGACTCTCTGGTGTCAATAGACGGTTTTCAAGTTTACCGACATGTTCGCGGAACCTGCAGATAGTTTTTCGCGACCTAAACCATACTAGTACCTATCCACTTTTATCATCAGGTATGACAGATCTGTGTTACTCTCCCACAAGAGGTAATTCTATACTGGACAGAGCATTTACCAACCACCCAACCGTGTTTTCTTTGAAACCAAAAACAACTGTTTCGTCCAGTGACCATTGCTTACTCCTAGTTCGACCTAAAGTTTATTCACACAGTGCACACAAGTCTTTCTCCCGATCTGAGAATATCAAATGTGTTTTTCGTAACTTCTCACCCAAAAGTGTTTCTCTTCTCATTGAATATCTCAGACAGGCCTCTTTATGGTTTTCATCATCTCTATTCACGTGTGTCCCCCTATTCATCCAAACAATCAATGCCATTTATAATCATTGCTGCCCTGTTCAAAACCTATATGTGTCCAACGGAAGGATAAACTCTCTCTTACTAAATTCGCTGCGACGACAAAAAGAACGTGCGTACAAGTCTCACAATGTTTCAGTTGTCAGATATTTGTCCAGGCTTATCAAAGCCGAAGTAAATAGATTGAAAGCATTATTCTCTGATCGAATTCTGAGGACTGGAAACAGCATCCGTGGCAAGTTATAAGACTTCTCTGTGGATGGAAGAAAGTACGGTCGAAGCTGAATGCATTCATGCGCCAAACATTGGATATTCTTCCTGCCGGCTCGTCACAAAATGTTCGTAACGTGGAATCATCTTCATAATGTGATGTGTTAGAACTTTTAAATAGTTGCATTTCGTCATCTGCTACAGGCCCGGATGGTTTACATCCAGCTGGCTTCAAATTTGGTGCTGCTTCCCTAGCTGGGAGCAATCACCTGCATTGTAAATGAATCTCTTAACACTTCCACTATCTCCGACTGTTGGCGACCGGTCACAATCAGACCGACCTCCGAAGCATCCGAACCTCCTATTCTCTTCAAACGTTTTCGTCCCATAGCACTACCATCTTCAGCTCTTAAATTGATTGAAAACGCCTTCAATAGTCTATAAACATTTCGAGTGATCCGTTACAGTTTGTTTACAAGCCTAATAGATCCAGCTTGGACGCAGTCTCCACCCTCATTCATTTCATCACTAAATCTTTGAACANAAGCCTAATAGATCCAGCTTGGACGCAGTCTCCACCCTCATTCATTTTATCATTAATTCTTTGAACAACTCTATTAAGTCTGCTCGGTGTGTTTTTCCTGACTACTCTTCCGTATTTGATTCCATTTCTTAATCTAAGTTGCTACAAAAACTGGAATCGTTGGGATGTCCCAAGCAGTTGTTAGCTTGGCTATCGAACTTTTTCATTGATAGAGTACAAACCACTAGACTAGGGAAGTCTTCATCTGGACCCTCAATCAACAATTCTGGGGTCCTTCAAGGAGCCGTGCTATCCCCATAATTACTTTCTACTTATATTTGTGATACTCTCTGTGCTTCCCCCGCACGAATTTTGAAATATGCAGATGACAATCGTGCTGTGCCAGCCCATTTTTTCTTNCTTACGCTGATCTAAGTTCTTTCACCGACTATTTTGATCAAATTCAATCATTCTCCTCATCGTGGTTAACCCTGAACCCCAGTAAATGTGTTGAGTGTTTATTTAGTTTTGCTCGCTCTCCATATCCGATAGACCCCACAGCGATTAATAACAATCCTTTATTCAGGGTGAACTCTGTCAAATAGCTTGGTGTAACCACAGATAGTAATCTTCATTGGTCTACCCACATCCACAACTGCATTGGTAAACTTCGGCGCCTGTCATTTGAAATACGAAAGCTCAGGCAGTTTAGTACATCCCAGTCAGTTATTTCTACCTTTGTTTATCAGCGTGTTTTCCCCACTTACTCTGCTGTTCCACAGTTATTTTTCTTGGCTCACTCAAACAGGATTTCAAAGTCTTACTTCACGGGCCAGCTGTTATTATTAGCCGTATCTCTTCTATTTCTGTAAATTATTTAGCTTTAAAGCTTTCATAGTATTACGTAACCTCCTGTGTGAAATTTGCTGACCGGATTCTCACAGATCATGACCACCCATTGCACGCAGAACTGACACGTTTTCGTTCTCATCATTTCACACGCTGCCGATTCCGCCAAGTCTCGAATTAACGCTTATCGCAATTCATTTATACCGTATCTTGGTCGTCGTTGATGTTGGGAGGCCGAGAGCTGTATTCCCTAGTGAAACATTTAGCGTTCCCCAATGTTCTTGCAGAATTACTGTTTGAGAAGTTAAATTTCCTATTGCTGAACCACACTCTCCCATTAGATTCTCAGACCACTCAACCGGTCAAACTTGAATCAATGATCAAAGCTGCCAGCATGCCGTACCGTGGATTCATCCTCCAGTTGAATAAACGGGCATCAGAATGCAACTACGGTGATCGTTTGGAAGAACAACTATGTGATCGTCTGATTGGTGGAATCAACAACATCTCATTACGGCCTCAGATGTCGGAAAAGAAAGGTGTCACGTTATCTGAGGTCCGAAAATCTGGCTTTGTCATAGATCTGATTCAGGGAACGGTGCTGTCCTCGTACGAGGACAGTTGAATCAACTGGCTCCTAGAACATAAACCGTCTGACGACGATAGGAGGAATCCCGTCGGGTTCAGTTATCTTGTGTGGGTCCAGTGATAAGAGGATCTAAAGTACCTTTCTGGTGGAAATTAATGGTGTTAAAACATGGGTTGCTGCAGGCTTTATGAAGGGTTGCCTACACTAATCCAGATGCGGCCAAACGTGGGCCATGTACAGAGGAACTAATGCACTCACGTCTCGGGACACCATGGTCACAGTTATCCTAAACCGTATTTTGATGGTCAAACAGGCGGCAGCTAAATGCTGTCGAATGGGGTTCATGAGGACCTATGGTTCATTCACTTCTCGCACCACTGCAAACGCTTCTCTTTCTATCTCCAACCCCGATGAAACGTGGTTCAATTCCGGCACATAGGATCTTGTATAGAAAGGAAACTATTCCGTTTCCAGGTGGATAAACGCAAGTATCAATTCGAATCATAAACTAAATCTGATAAAATTTTTCGGAAATAAAATAAAAAGCAGATCGTCCCCGACCTTCAACTTTCTTCCAGAAAAACGCCAATTTAGTGGGAACCAACCTTTGGATGGTCATGACTTCTGGGATTGAACCTTGGGTTTAACGCTAGTGCCTAATTGTTCGGAACCCTTGGACGTGGAGGTTTTAACTGAAAGAGCAGAAGCTGAGAACAACTGGTCATTTCGCCCGGGTGCATGTTATGCTGTCTGTAATAGTAAAATTAATAAATTGCTTAAAAATTGCACGCCAGCTGAAAGAGCTTATATTCGTTTTCTTGGAATGGATCAAGGAAAAAGAACTGGTCCTATGTACTAATCAGGCAGAAACTTGATGAAAGTTTGCTTTCTGAGGTGACTATCTCCTTTGACGATGCATTCCGGAGGGATTAGCGTAAAATTATAAAATACTGTGTATATTGTGGTGTAGAGTTGGACTAAATCCATGCTCAGCTGTTTCCTCGAGTTAAACCCAATGGAGCCTGAATGAAAATCTCACATAACAGTCCTCAGGAGAATGGATGGTGTAAAATAAATGTATCTCTCCGAATTCGTCTGACTTCCACTCCGCGTTGTATTAGGCCGTCGTAGAATGGTAAGTGTTCCATTCCAACCAACGGTTTTCTTTCCGTTCTTTGAACTCTTGGAACAACATCACGATCTCACATGAGACCGGAACAACCGATATGGCTAGCACATTTCACACCTTTTTTTCCCATCAAGCTTTATCTAAAACCTGCAGCCCTCCCGCTTCAACCCGTAATCCTTTATCCAAACCCCACAATCTATTAGCCTTGATCCAAATTACTTTAGCCAATACCTGCAATGTTTTAGCCACAATCCGAAGTCATTTATGATCGACGCACAAACTTTAGTCACGCGGCAGTAGGTGAGTCGAATCAAAAAGCCCCACAGAACACATTTCAAATAAAACAAGAGAACTTGAGAATAAGGAGTGACGAACAAGCTCGTTTTCAGTGATTCGTGGTGATGCAAAATACATCACAACGAATATCATTGTGGTGATTGTGTATAAACTGAACATTCTTGTTTCATTACATAATCGATTCCCTTTGTAAGGGGCAATAATCTCATTTAGGCCGGTTCATTATGTATTCATGTCATCCTTTCATTAATTGTCATTCGCCTCTCTGTTTCCCTTCCAGACGTGAATGTTACTCAAGTTATGCTCCCTAACCAACCCCGGAAGACCTCCCGGACAGTTGCCCCTAGGCCCCCGATTGCACCCCCCTCCCCTTGTACAGAGATCGAGTAATGGTTGACTCTTCCCCAATACACACTGTGCTCCGGTCTACGTCTTCTCCCTTTTGAGGGTTGATCGATACCATTCTCGTCTGACTGTTCTTGTGTGTACGCCAGGATATTTTGCTGCTGTCTGCCCAACGATCCCTTTCAGATCACAGTCGTCTGTGTGGCCCAAACCTGCGTCTGTCTGTTACACTTTGTACAATTTCGGCGCGTAATACAAAACTGACTTCGAATATTGTGGAGTTCTATTCCATACTGCGTACTAGTTCGGTTGAAGCTTAATTGCGCGGATTATTGCGATTCAATTCCTGATACCAAGTACAGATTACCCCATTTGGCGTCGCGGCCGGTTTTTATCTCATTATGGACACCTGCAACTTGGAAATTCTTGATATTCATTCGAACTCACGTTGTGTGGAAGATTATTTGGAGCGTTTTGAGATTTGGTGTCTCACCCGCAAAGGTCTGGACGCCGAGAAGACAGCACATTTTCTCTCAGCTGTTGGGAAGGAAGCTTATGCGCTGATTAAAAATTTGGCATTCCCAGAGTCACAATACAACTGAAGTATGAAAGGATTGGTTGCTAAAGCATTTCCAGCTAGTCAACTTCGAAGCAGCTGAGCGAGCGAAATTCCATTGCTTTGCTCGTGATCCTAATCAGTCTGTTCGAGACTTCATTCTTCAGCTGCAAACTCAGGCTGCACGCTGTAATTTCGAAGATGAGCTTCGAACTCAGCTCCGTGATAGATACATTGCTGGAATGAACTGTTCTGAGCGACAGCAGCAGTTATTGTTGATTCCAAACTGTACATTTCAAACTACAAAGGTGGTCTGTGAACAATATCAGGATGTACGTGCGGCCGTACGTGAGGAGCCGAAAGTATTGTTCAGTCACAATCGTGGGTCAGCGCTTGAAGCTCAACAGACGCTGCAGTTCAAAAGTGTCAACAAAGCTGTTAATCACAGTCCGACGTCCACGCAACCTGCAGATAATAACATCCGCCACTGGAACCCTTACAAATCATGCGGTAGGCGACCCTCTCGCCTGACTTGTAAATTTTGCAATGCCAAATGCCACAAGTGTGGTTAGTCTGAACACCTCCAGTCTGTTTGTGGAAGCGCACATAACTCAGTCCCCGATTCATGCTTGCCTACCGATTTTCAGTCTCTTGCTCTATCCGTTAACAGTTCTAACCAGTCTCAACACATTACACGTACATTCACACTCAATCATTGTTTTCGGCGTTCATTCATCATGGACACAGGCAGTGTGAATTCGTTTATTTCAAAGATTGTTCTTCAACGTTTGAAACCACGTGTGTATCTAAACACAACTGACATTTCGGTTGAAGTTATAACTGGCCATAATCTTCCTGTTTTGGTTTCGTGTGAACTACTCCTTACTGATGATGAACAGCAAACATTCAATTGTTTCTTTCTTGTTATTGATTCCAACATTTCTATTATTGGCCTCGATTCTATGAAACGCATGGAAATTTCTATTTCATTTTTCGCTGATGATCAACAGTTTCGACTAGGTCAGTTGGTTCTTAAATGCTCCAACAATAAGGGTGGAATTAAAATGGCCCCAATTCACTTGGAAGTGGATGGTTCCCCAATATTTCTGAAACGTCGAATTATACCATTGGGTATCGGTGAACCTGTAAGGAAATTTTTGGACGATTTAGTTGAGAAGGGTGTATTAACGCCTGTAGATTCTTCTGTTTGGGCTACCCCTATTGTGGTTTCGTTGAAACGTGATGGTAAAACACCCAGAATTTGTGGGGATTACCGTATCACAGTCAACAGATACTTAAAGCAAACTAGCTGCTCAACCATTGAACCCGAAGACATCTTCCATCAATTTCATGGATCAAAGTTCTTTTCCAAACTAGATTTAAAGGATGTATTTCTGCAGGTACCACTTGATGAGAATTCTAGTGTTTTGACCACAATTAACACACCGTTTGGTCTATTTCGTTATAACCGTTTGCCATTTGGTCTCAGTGTTCACCTACTATATTCCAGAATGTTGTGAATTTTCTTATTTCTGGTTTGGATGGAGTTTCAGTTTACCAAGATGACATTATCGTGCATGCACCAACCAAAGAACTACATGATAAGCGTCTGTGCTTACTGCTTGAACGATTCAATATCCATAATATTGCTATTAATGCAAATAAATGTACATTTTCCATACCAAAATTTTCCTGTTTGGGTTTTCTTTTTGATGAACATGGTTTCCGTCCTGATCCAACTCGTTTTTCTTCTCTTTCTAACGCACCTTCTCCCAAGTCAGTTGAAGAACTTCGTTCAATACTCGGTTCGCTTCAGTATTATTCTAGATTCATTCCAGATTTTGCCACAAAAGCAGAACCATTGTTCACACTTGTCTCACAGCGAACATTTCAATGGACACGTATTCATGAAATTACCCTTAGAAGCTTACTAAGTTTTCTTTCCATTGATGCAGTTTTACATGCTTTTTGACCCAAAGCACATTCGACAGTAATTACAGACGCATCACCAATTGGCATTGCAGCAGTGTTGGAGCAGAACGGTCATCCAGTTCTATGCATTTTTCGCAGACTCATTCATGCTGAACGTGGTTACTCCCAAACACATAGAGAGGCCCTTGCAGTACACTGGGCTGTTACTCGATTGCACAAATACCTATATGGCTCACATTTCACAATTATATCGGACCACGAGGCATTGAAGTTCATTCACAATTCCCACCGATCTCTGGCAAAGTCATCAGCGGCCATGG